GATGTTTTTCACTGTAAACCGCTCGAAAATGGTGTGCAGAGGTAGGCTGTTGTCGTCGTTCTCGTCGTCGTTCTCAAAAACCCCGGTTGCGCGAGACGAGGAAGTGGGTCCGGAGGAAATAAAATAGACTTTTTACGTCGCGCATCCCGACGACGCGACGTAAAAAGCCATCTTTATGTCGCACCTGGAGGGCGCGACGTAAAGATGGCCTTTTACGTCGCGCCTCCCATGTGCGACGTAAAAGAGGCTTTTTACGTCGCATACTGAGATGTGCGACGTAAAATTTTTGTCCCATATTTACAAAATTGCCACCGCGTTTTATTTACGTCGAATATACATGCATGCGACGACAATTGGGTGACGTAAAAGCCCTATTCTGCACTAGTGTTCACTCAACTATTTTGTAAAAAAGAAAGTGCTTAAATAATAAAAAAAAAAGAATATAAAAATATTAGACCAAACACACATTCCTCTCATTTGGTGTTCACCTACTTAGTATATATATAGAAATCTTATGACATAATTAGAGATGGTTATTCTTAAACCTTTTTAAAATAAAAATAAAATAAAAAGGTAAATACAAAATTTTCACAAGTTAAAACTCGTCTATATGTATTATGTATAAACTATATTTTGTATGAAATAGTTATTTTATTTTCAGAATCTTAAACTTATAACATAAATTAATTTAATTTTTTATTTATAGATATTCTTTAGGAAAAAGTTTTCTCTTGGTGAGTAATATAGTGAGATATAAAACTAAAGGTAGAAAATAATTGCGTTTTATTAGGAAGGAAAAAATTGTCTGATTCAGTTTTGTTTATGTATGCATGTGTAAAATAAATAGAAGAAAAATGCATATGTTTTTTTTAACATATATTTATGGTAATATAAATGTATTTAAATTTTTTCTATTTTTTGGTACAATTTTTTACTTTATTTATTGTATCTTTATGATATCTATTTTGGCAGGTATATATTGGAAATTCAATAAGTTTGTAGGAGTGCTGAAATAATATAATTGGTAATCAAATGTTGTTTTGCTAGGAAATTAATATGTTTTTTTTTTAAAAAAACATTGTTCTTGAAAATTAAGTTTAATAAATGAATAATAAAATAAGTTTAATCTAATTGAAACCATATATATATATATATATATATATATATATATATATATATTGGAAAATTTGAAGAAAACCAAAAAATTTTATCAGTTCATTTTAATAGATACTCGGCTCGACGAAATAACTCCAATTCCTAATGATAGAGACCCTCTATCATTAGTTACTCAAAATTAAGAATCATTAAAGTAATTTCCTACCCCGAATGGAACCAACACCCATTCACCAAGTAATTATAAGATGGGGGGTCAAAGGGCCTCGAAAAGCTCTTATCGGTGAATGGGTGTTGGTTCCATTCGGGTAGGAAATTACTTTAATGATTCTTAGTTTTGAGTAACTAATGATAGAGGGTCTCTATCATTAGGAATTGGAGTTATTTCACTGAGCCGATATCTATTAAAATGAACTGATAAAATTTTTGGTTTTCTTCAAATTTTCCGATCTAGGGATCCAGACTCCATCCTGGTGGAGCTACTCTTTTAAGTATTCCATATACGTCTTCTGCATTCCAATCTTCTTCTAGTGTAATTATTTTTTGGCATCCTTCTTTGATATGAAATTCTTTTTTCGGAATTATTTCTGGAGGAGTATTCTGGGTTTTCTGTGGAGTTAAAGGAGTAAACCTATTAGGGGGAGTGGTTATAGAAGTAGGAAGTTTTCGGGTGGTTATGGTTTTCGAATATGAAGGGGCAAAGTCATCTAGAGATAATGTAGATGACTTAGGATTTTCTGGTTTATTCTTTTCTGGGGTATTAGGTTTTTTAGAGGGGGTTGCCATGGGAGTGGCCCTGCAAAAAGTCTCTTGTTAGAAAATCTGGAATTGAATTTTCTTTTCCTTTTATAAATTCTATATCAAATTCAAAGCAAAATAATAAACTTTGCCATCTAGCAAATATTTGTCTTGAAACTATATTCTTTACATCTTTTTCTAAAACTTCTTTTGCTTGATTTACAATCAATTCGTAATAAAAACTTTTTATTTATTAAATCATGTTGAAATTTTTGAATATTTAAAACTATGCTTAAAATTTCCTTTTTAATAGTACTATAATTTCGTTGGGCTTCATTCCATATTCCTGAATGATATTTCACTATTTGTTCGGGAGTATTTGGTAATTGTTGTTTCAGTATTCCTCCATACCCTACATCCGAGGCATCGGTTTCTATAATTAATTTTACTTCGGATTAGGTATTGAATTTATTAAACCAATAAAAAATAAAGAAATAAAATTAGTAACAGATGTAAACGAAGAAAATTTTCTATTAAAATTAGAAGCAAAAAATACCCATATAAAATATTTAAAACAAGAAATAACGCATAAAAGAATAGAAGAACAGCTTAAAAAATCCTGAAGTAATTACCTCCTTTAAAAATATAGAACAAGAAATTATAAAAGAAGTATGCGCGGATGTACCCACCACCTTTTGGAATAGGCACACTTTTGAAATAGAATTACCCTATGAAGAAGGATTTTTAGAAAAGAATATTCCTACTAAAGCTAAACCAAGTACAACTAAATATATATATATATATATATATATATATATATATATATATATATATATATATATATATATATAACTGATGAAAGTATGATGTTTGAAAGTAATGTAATACTGTTGTAATGATTAAATTTATTAACAATATTATTCAAGTAAATAGTTTTATTAACAACAATATTAAAGATGGGTTAAGAATGAAAAATATTATAATTTATTCTTTTATTAAGTTATAAATAATTTTTTTATAGATAATTAATGAGATAAGTGCTTTAGTAGTAGCATATGTTACACAATGCTTTTTTAACTCCAAATAATCTCCCTAAATAGCCACATTAGAGATTATTTAAATATGACAGTTATCATAATTTGTTTAACTTCATAATCCCCTTAAACAATATGACTTAAGTGTATTTTTTTAGGTATTAAAAAAATCTTAATAATCCCCAAATTTTGAGATGTTGTGTGTTAAAATATTTACTTACATAGATTTTTCTTTTTAATTTATAATTTTATAACTTTATGAAAGTATTTAAATTATTTAAAATATTTTAAATTTTAAATAAAAATATTATTCTTTCTTCTTTATCTTTCGTTTATTTATTTTCTCCATGTATTTCTTATTCTTTTATTACCCTTTGATGTTTCTTTTCTTTTATTTTTATTCTTTCGTCTTTATTTTCAATGTTATGTAAAAAATATCAATATTTTTATTATTAAATATTATTTTATATTATTTTCAAGTATTAATGATTTGAAATAATATATATTATTTCATAATGTTAATATTAGTTTGTTCACATGCAATTAAAAAATAAAATATTCTAGACTAAATTTGAATTTTAAGAATTTTTAATTGATTTGTTCAAATAAAACATTTAATAAATATAAATAAAAAATAATTCAAACTTTAAACATTTATTTATTTTAAAATAATTTCTAACAGGTACACAACATTCAGACTTTAAATATTATGACTACATGAATATAAGTGTCATGGATAATCTCTAACAAATAAACTTTTATATTGTTTAAAATTTGTGCATAATATAAACCAAAACTAACCTACTAAAAGTATTTTTTATTTGGTTGACATTAATCGTACCCTTCCTATTATACAATCAAAATTGTTTTGTGAGAAAAAAAAAATGACATCTAAAATTCATCAATGATCTTGTTATTAAAAAAATAATACCACATTTATTAATTAACTTATATCAATTAAAAAGAGTACACATATTATATAATTGTACATGAAACTTTAAATATAATAACATTGATTTAATTGGTTTCCTGTGAAAATTTAATATTCAATTTCTATCAAATATAATAACTAAATTAGTTTATATTAAATATATTTAAGCTTAATTTATAAATTAAACTATTTACTTGTTTAAAATATTGTATTCATCAAGTTCTTGAATCAATTAACACATATGTGCATAATAATATATATATATATATATATTTCATTCCATTACTATTATTCATATATTGTTTTTAAAAAGAATTATCTTAAATTATACTTATTATTAGATAAAATATTATATTGATAAATTTAAATTAATATCAACTAAGACCATATCTAATTTAATTATTTATAATGTTTTTAAGAAGAGCCACAAAGATTCTAAACTAACAAGTTGTATCATTTAAATAACGAGCGATAACTAAAATCAATTAAATATGTAAATATTCGAGAATATACTATTATTGAAAATTAAATCATTTTAATAAATATGTTATAAAAAAAACACAAATAAGAACAGTAAAAAATAAATGGTGAGTAAGAAAAAAAACTGAAAATAATAACGGAATATTAAAAATGTGACATTATTTTATTATGATGAAAATTTTATTTAAATAAATTAATCATATTTGTAAAATTTGACAAAATTCATCAAATGTAATTTCTATAAAGAAAATATCTTTCTACTTTTTTCTTTAAATTTGTAAGATATTTGTTGAATTTGAAATTTATATATTATATATAATATGTTTGGTCGAATGTTGAACAACTTATCCATTAACTATATACATGAATGAGCCTTTATTTGTTTATTAAAAAATGTACATACCTACCAACAAGTGAACAATGTTAATAGGAGCACAATTAAATCGATAAAGAAAGCGAGGGAATCATACACCAATTTTCGGCTACATGGGGAGCAATGTTAGTCACACACACCGGTCTTCTTGTTAATATTACGGCTCCAATAGCAGTGTAGAATGCTATTGTCGGTGGAGAAATCCAAAGGGTATTATAGTCAAAACCAAAACAAATCCGAGAACCACATTGGACAGTGACAACGGTGAGGGTAACTGGATTACAAAGCGTGCGCATCAAGCAGCCGAAACGACGGCGTTGGCATTTACGAAATGGCGTTTTCGTTGTATTCGAAGCGGCAGAGGGGTAATTGGGTAAAGTTGAAAGCGAAAGCAATAAGAATTAGCAAACGCTTCGTATCTTACAGTGGGAATCAATCTCTCTCTTCGCTACTCCCTTGTTGGTTCTGGTTTTTATTTTTTGTTACTCTCAACAAAACGGCTCTCTCGCAGGCCAAAAGCTTCACCGTTTCGGTTCCTGCTTAGGGTTTCGTTTTCGCGTAGTCAAATGCCGCGCGGAGCCGCTATTTCGCACTTTGCACTAGTCAATTCCAATTCCTCTCCGCGTTCTTGACCCACCATGCTTTGATTCTTTTTCCTCTTATCCTTTTCGGGTAATTTCATTTTTTCCTCTCTCCGTTGGTTCCTTATTTTTGTTTCTCAAGTTCTACTGTTGAGTATTATGTCAGTTTAAGTCCAGAGTGCTTGTTATTTTTGTGCTTTCTGCGCTCTCCTTGTGCTTGATTGTGTTTGTGGAAACTGAGATTCTTGTTTAAGTGTAGGTTTACAGCTGGTGAATTTTTCTTTCTCTTTGATTTTGTGTAATTGATTTTTTATTTAGTGTGATGCTGAGCTGTAATTTGATCTTGGAGCTCTTGAGCTTTTAATTGTGCTAGTATTTAGGGCATGTTTAGAATTTGAACTGGTGCTTATTGGATGTGTGACCCTGCTAGTGTAGGATGGACTTTACTTGATTTTATTGATATAGTGGCTTAAGTATAAGAAATAATACAGGGAGCAATGAAATCCTTTTCCCTAAAGACTGGGTAAAGTAGGAGGGTTGTGTCAGAGGATGAAAAACTTGTTGATGATATTCTCAACATGTTACTGCTGCTGTTGTTTATATAGTATTTGTGATTGTGGTTTAATTTGGCTACTTGGCATGCTGCTGTTTGTAGCCCTTTGTATTTGTGTTGTCCTTCATGTTTATTGGGTTTCACTGTATTAATATTTGGATGATAAGCTTGCGAGTGTTTTACATAGTATAGATTAGATTGTGTTATTAATTAATGGAAAGATTGGTTTTATGTCTAGTGTTTCTTCTCTCTACCTCCAATAGTCTTTTAATTGTTATGCGTGCTTATGCAATGATTTTGTGACTGTCTCAGTGGTGGCAGTTCTGGTATGGAAGTGTATGATGTTTCTGAAACTAGAAACTATGATTCTGCCATGGTAAACTTTTATTTATTTGTGACATTTGTCCTCTTTAAGTTTTGATTTTTCAGGCTTCCTTTGATTATAGTCCCTAATGTTCTATTCATTTTGGCTATAGATTGACGGTACTGGTTTAAATTCACACTTCTCAAGCCCAAATCTTGAACAAACTGAGGTCATGACTAACGAAGGAGCCCCTGAATTTTTTGTTGATCAGAACATGTATTTCCCTGCTGCCACCAATTATGGGTATTACTGTACAGGTAAATTTAAAAGCATTATATATATAGTGTTATCATTAGGTTTATTTTGACATTACGTTATGGTGATAATGTTACTCACTGTGTTTAGGATTTGAAACACCTGCGGAATGGGAGGACCACCATAGGATTTTTGGCGTAGATGGTCCCAATAATCAGTACACGGCAAGTTTAACTCTGTTTCCCTCTATCTATTTTGATAATTGGATGATTTTAATGTTTCTGTTACCTTTTCAGGGTGCACAAAATGAAAGTTTGCCATATGTATATTATAGCTATGGATATGCACAGTCTCCATACAATCCCTATAATCCTTATATTCCAGGTGCAGTGATTGGAGCTGATGGCTCATTTGGAGGGCAACATTATTACACTCTCCCCAATTATCAAAACCCAGTTTCTACTCCTGGTTATATTCCCCTTGTTCCACCAGACAATTTTGCTGATAGTTCTGCAGATTCCCTTTTTGGAGCCAGTGCTTCTGTCAGTAAACCTGATGGAAGAGGTTTGAAACATAAGTTCAATTCAGCTTCTGGTAACTTTTCTAGGAACTCTTCAAAATTTTTATCAAATCAGACAAGTTCATTGGCCAGGGTATCAGAAGGGCCAAGAGCTAATGATGGGAGGAAACAAGATTTGACACATGCAAGTGTGTCTGGAGGTAGTTTTCTCAATTTAGCTTCACCAGCTGTTCATCAGGTAGTTGTTTTACCCTTTTTTAACTTACACATTTTGTGCCTATGGTTAAATGAAAATTAACATTCTGCATGAAATGAGTTGCTACTACTTCTCTACTTAATTAAAGATTTCCTTTACTAATGTGTTATTGTTTTAGTATACCTGTGGATAGATTGGCTAGATGAGTATTAATTTGTGGCATTTTAGATTTTTATATGAACAAAATCTGGCTAAATAAATTTTTGTTCATGATGTGTGGTGGTTTGATAGTAGATGGGGGGTTTTCTTTCAATATGTCATTGTTTTGATAATTGTTTTTATTGTTGTAGTGCTCTATTTTTGTGGAATATAGACTCTGGTTCTTTATTTCAACCTATAGATACAATTTCTAATGGGAATGTTATGACTTATCATCAATTTTAAAATATATTCTTTAACAAATAATGAATTTTCTGATGTTGGATCTAATGCTAATGGACAGTCTGCAGTTGCTAAACTTAGGCCGAAGTTTCACATGGGCAAAGTTCCAAGTGGTGGAAATGGAAGCTCCGATATATTGGGTGAGCAAAATCGGGGCCCTAGAGTTGGTAGATCAAAAAATCAGCTGTCTGTGAAAGCCTATTCAACAGTGGCAGGAGATGGTAATGAACAGGGGAATATTGTCATTTATACTGATCAATACAACAAGGAGGACTTTCATCTTGACTATGAAAATGCAAAGTTCTTTGTTATAAAATCATACAGTGAAGATGATGTGCACAAAAGCATTAAATATAATGTGTGGTCATCAACGCCTCATGGAAATAAGAAGCTGGAGAATGCTTATGAGGATGCCAAGAAAATAGCAGCTGAAAAGTCTGGTGTCTGCCCCATCTTTCTATTTTTTTCTGTAAGAGTTCATTATCTTGATATGTTCAATAAACTTTGATCCTTGTTCTTTATTATTTGTATATCTACTTTGTATTCTCTGTCATCTATATGCAAATTAGACCAACTGTTTTAGTATTTATTTTTCTTCTTTTTAATGAAGGTTAATGCAAGTGGGCAGTTCTGTGGAGTTGCAGAGATGGTTGGTACAGTTGATTTTAATAAGAATATGGACTTTTGGCAGCAAGACAAATGGAGTGGAAGCTTTCCTGTAAACTGGCACATCATTAAAGATGTACCAAATCCAAATTTTAGGCACATTATACTGGAGAACAATGAAAATAAGCCAGTAACTAATAGTAGAGACACACAAGAGGTATATATTGTGTCTGCTTATATTTCCTTTAATAAGTTTAGACATGGCAGGTTCTTCTATTAGTATTTTACATTAGTGAACGTGTTAACTATTGCACTAGCTGTTGTTTTGAACCTGTTTTGTCATGTTATATTGATTGTAGATTTATCAGACAATTGGTTGCTCATATGCATGCATGGATTTCTGTAGAGTTGGTGATGGATTTAGGATTTTAGTGGAGTAAATTTTTTTGAAGCATTGAAAACCGATTAAGAAGTACTGCATTTCTTTTGGATTGGTATAGTTTTGATTTAGCTATCTGGCTGCAGTTATTTGATATTATTTAATTGATGTTAGTATGCATGATTGCTGATGTTATTTAAATGACTAGTGAATTGTTGTACACCACATTTTATACCACTGTTTCATGCTGGATTAAGTTTTTTTTTTTTTACCATTAAGGTTTTGTTTTGAATTCAAAAAATGTAGTTTATCATCGTTATATATATTTTTCTGCTTAAACTTGTTACATTGATTATTTAATATTCTTTATTTTATGCACAGATAATGTATTTGAAAGGTTTGGAATTGCTGAAAATATTCAAAAACCATCCATTGAAGACATCTTTACTTGATGACTTTATCTACTATGAAAACCGCCAAAAGATTATGCAGGGTGAGAAAGCCAAGTTGGCTGGTAAGAATTTTGATAGTCCAATATTTGTACCTGTATTGGAAGCTTCTCGGAAGCTGAAATTTATGTCAACTGACAATTATGATAAGAATTCAAAGCCCAAGGATGATTATGATCGCTTAAAACAGATCTCAGTTTCAAGTTCTGAACAGATTGCTAGTAATTCTGATGTTAGTTGCATCAAGCCTGTGGATGAGAGAGCTGAGAAAACTGTTGATGAAGATATTTCTTCTATCTTAAAGATTGGTTCAGTCACTATTGCCCCCAAACAGGTTGAGGCTAAACAATCCATAAGCATTGGTAATAAGGAACCAGTTGATGTCCTTACAGTAGGCTCGATGCAGGTCAAAGTCAATGGGTTTGCTACATCTTCTGGTTTTTTGAAGGTTGGCAGTATCCCACTTGATGCAAGAGCATTGCAGCTGGGGGAAGGAGTTCCCCCGGATAAAAATGGACCACAACGTTAAATTTTGCTTTGCATCTGAAGAAACATCTGGTTTTAGTCCCCTTTGGTAAAAATAGATTGCAGTTCGCCCGATTGTATTTTGCAATTGGGGAGGTTGAGTTTCTTTTTAATCATTTTGTATTGCTCTTTGCATTTTTATATTTCATCTGCTAAAGATGTTGGTTTGCTGCAAGGCTTTTATATATTGTGGCTTTGAGCGGTGTTGATTGTGTTGACTTCTAAAGCTTTTATAGGATAGTGTAACGTCCTTTGGTTTTTTTGCTTCTGGCTGGCTGGTTTCTCAGCATGCATGGAGTGAGTGAGTTTGTTCATCCAATCTGTGTTGAGGAACCTGCTAGAACTTCTCGCCACATTAGTTGGAGTGAGTCTCAACATGCTACGAGTGAGTTTGTTGATCCAACCTGTTTTCAGAAACTTGCTAGAACTTCTCGGCACATTAGTTGAGTAGTCTGTTACATTCACAAGATCACATTTCTATTCTATTGTTTTGAATGTTTCATTCTGATTTGGTTAAATGTAATATTGATTGTATTAGCTTTCTTAGATGACAGTATTTCCTTGTCTAGCTTATTTAGTCTTTATTCGGCTTTCATCTAATCTATGTTTAGTTCGATGTATTTTTATTGGAAACGCTTGTGTGATAAAATTGTCGTCTCTCAAATCCAGATGAAGAACTTTGATTAACAATATCTTCAAGGGGAAAATATGTTTAGTCTTTATTTTTAAGTCAATGAATTAATCTATATCAAAATATTAAAACATTCGAAACTAATATTTTTCATAATTGAATTTGCCTTTTATTGAATCCATTCTGGATGTTTTAGTTGGGATAGCTTCTTTGAATTAGTGAAAACTTTATATGTTAAACTATATAACAGAACTTGATTTTCTTACCCTTGGTCTTTTTGAAAATTAGTTTACTTGTCAGATTAATAGGATAAAAAAGAGCTGATGAACTGATTCATTATTGCCTTCTAATCTATGAAGGCTTATTATACTATAAAGGTTACAATATGGGGGATAATTAAATAATTGAGATTTAAAATATACTACACAAAATTATTGATGAAGAAATAGAGATTTTACACTTATTCCTATAAAGTGGTTCTTTTAATCCATGTATATAAACCAATACCTAAAATTATCCTAAATAAAAGTGATTGGCAAAATAAATTTACTTATAGTCTAATTCAATAACCAATTATTGGAAATTATGGAATTGTCATTCAACTTACACAATTTGAGTGTCTTTAAAAATGTTGTAGATTTATGAGTGCTTGCTCAATCAAAGAGACAAGCATGAGTATTTTTACAAAAACTTATATTCTTTGATACTGTTGAAACAAAAAAGAATTGCGTATTAACAGAAATTTGAAGGTAAATATTTAACACTTACAATATTAGAAAATCATAAAATATATTATATTTTAATAAAAAATAAACAATTATTATTACCTACGAGTCATCAATAACCACCACTATATTTTATTTATAATCTTTCACAGATGCATGACTCTTTTTTAACCAAGTATCTGAGCGTTTTTGGGCTGAATTATTTATTGAGATGTCTAAATAATTTGTAATAGTTTTTTACTAGAATAATCTGATGAGATATGATAAATTGTTTAATTTTCTTTTTAAAACATCTCTATTGGTATTTACTTGTATATGTTTAGGTAAATTATGAGTTACTTGAATTCAATTTTATTAGAGTAATTTTATATGACATATTAAGTTGTTTAAAAATAAATAAAACAAAATAAATGAAAAAAAGAACAAGAAAAAAATCTTTAAAATTTATTAAAAAAATTCTAAAATTAATGGTGAGATGTTTAAAAATAAAATAACATCATAAATTTCTATTTTACATTTTTAAAAATAAAAAATAAGTTATATAAATTATTCTTATTATAAATCACATCAATAAAACAATTTGAATATAATTCATACTCTCATAACATCTATTTATAATAGAAGTATAATAAATAGTTAATTTTATGTACCTTTTAAGGAAATAAGAACTCACATTGAAGAAAAAAAATCCAAAATATTAACACAATATAAATGACATTTAAATCATAATATGAAGAGTCTAATTTAAAAAAAAAACATTAGAAAACTCTTAAAAATGACACACCAGAAAACCCATTATCTATCAATAATTAACTTTATATATACATTCATCTATTTTATGTCAGAAAATAATATAAAAAAATTGCTTAACTGCTTTACTAATTGTTTTGAATTTTAACATTTTAGAAATTACTAGATGTCACGGATTGGTTGTTGATAAAAACTTACTGAAGCCAAACAAAAATTCTTAGACAATGATTTTCCGTAATTCTCACAGTTCTTCACTTATTTTAATTTTAAAGTGAACTAATAACATATTAAAAAATGTGCGTCCAAATCGAGTAAATAAACTTGATCATATAAATGTTTAATACAAATTAGCTTTTTTCTTATAGATGATTACAAGTAAACAATTGTGATGGCATTGATTAATAATGGCTAAATTATTGACAAGTGATTAATATCACTAATGTATCGGCAACAATGTAGAATTACACAATTTATAACCACTTAGGATATAAAACTAACCATCTTTTCTTACTTCACGTGTCCTACATACACCAATAATCAATACTCTTTAACATATATTCTTTTGTGTAGCATTAAGTTTGGAAAAAAACAAAATGTAGGTGCACAGATTGTCATCATTTGATAAGGAATAGGTTTGGCATGGGTTACATAGCATTCCATTGAAAACAATTATAATGACAAGCCTAATTGTTGTTATTTATACCTAAAAGTTCTTTAATTTTTCACTGATTTTCATCAACCAATTATTCTTTCATACATGGGAACATATACCAATCTTATTAATAAAAGAACCCTGATTTCAATAATGAATTATTCAGTACATGCAATACACAACATGTACGGTTTCTTCTTGGAGATAAAAAACAAAAATTGTTGTTTTCTCTTAATATTAAACACTGTTTTATGACATTAAATCAATGGTTCAATCAGTTTAACCTCGTCTCGAAATCGACATATTATTTTTAAATAATTGAATTCTAATTATATTAATATAAAAGATAAAAAAGTCTTTTATCAAATTTTAAAATTATTTTTTTAATATAATTTTGTTATAACAAATATAATATTTATTTACTTATCTGTTTTATATTAGATACGTGAACTTTAAATAAATATTATTTTATTATATTTTTCATCTTACTTTATTTGTTATATATTTTATTTTTTCTAATATATTTTATATTTATATTTTTATTATAATCATAATAATATTTTTTATAAAAATATTATTAATAATATATTATATTATATAAACATTATTTTATTAAATTGATTTCAATTAAACATTAAACTTTTAAACTTAAAGATGTTGTTTTATAAAGATCTAATTTTAAAGATATTGAATAAGTGAAAAATAATAATTACGACAATTAGGTAGGTTGGAGGACAGTGATATCTTTATTGATTCTTAAGAAACAATTATAGAGGTACCCATCTTGATTTTTGACTCAAAATCTGAATACATTGACATTTTCTAATACGAATTAGGTGTAAATTGTCTTTTAGAGTAATGTTTTCCTCATTATTGCTCCATAATAGGGGTTAGGTATAAAATATACCAACCCTTCTTCATGAATTTGATGAACTTGGAATTTTCTGATTGAGAGTAGATCCAATGAACTTAGAGCAGGAAAAATAATACTAGCTAGCTCAATACTATGTTTAGACTAAAAACCCTAATTGAAAGTACTTGAGTTGTTCTACTTATTTAGGATTTCCTTGATTGTTCCCAATCTATGTTAAACTTCGTTATTGCTCCTATTTATATTTAAACTTTTAAGACTTTTTTTTCATTATTTTCATGGTTTTGTAAAGAGTTGTTTAATCGTTTCGATGTATCTTATTTTTCATTAGAATTTAAGTTTGAGTTTTGATAATTTATTTTCAGCAAATATTTTCAGGATAAAAATTTAATTGCAATAGGAGAATAATATCGAAATTTTAAAAGAAATATATATATATATATATATATATATATATATATATATTTTATAAGGAAGAGGAAATAAGAAAAAGGGAAATTTTATAACAAAATATAAAATAAAAATATCATATTCTTTTTTTTTTTTTAAACGACATCCTTCCAATAAATATTCCTACAATCATTCTTTGTAATTTATTCCATAAATCTAACGATACTTCGTATTTTTCAAAACAGAATATTGAGGTGTTTTTGGTAGGAATTTATCAGAATATATTCTATTATAAGTGTTTTGCACCACCATTTAAGTATAGATTGTTTTGTAGAATAAAATTATTTATTTTTGCAATAATTAAGTCAAAAGAGTTACTCTGAGGTTAGTTCTAAACTTTCAATTAATTAATGATATAAAAATCTTTACATTTACAACATGGTAATATTAAATTCTTTTAGAAAACAAAATTAACAAAATACATATTAACAGCAATTAAATAAATTATAGCATTGTGATCGAGGTAGGAAGAAGATTTTTTTTTTTATCAAATATGGGTTTTGATTATGTGCTTCAAGCAAGTAACTATTTTATCCAAGTAATAGGATATTATAAATATTTTACCTATCAGCAAATGTAAAAAATCTGTTGAATTTATTAGTAGGAGGCTAAGTGTTGTTAGAAGTAATATTAACCTAATTTGTTAGTAACAAGATAATTTTACATTAGACCAAATTAAATATTTTTTACTATTAACCCACTCAGTTATTTTACTCTTTTTAAAAACAATTTTACAATTAATTTTCTATTATCATATACATCAAATTATCAAATGGAGGCAATGTTTCCAAAATAAATCACAAGTCGTGTTTAGATGGTACAAAAATTAATTCAATTTATACAGCAAGTTTATTTATCACCTTATTTTTTTTTAATAAATATTTATAACCATGCTTATCTAACCATGTCCATGACCACTCATAAT